ATTTAAAAAGAAGATTAATACACTTCTAGCAGACCAACTAATTTTCGTTATAAATAGTTCTTTTTTTCCCCCCAATTCTTGCAATTTATTATAATAAAAAAATGCTGATAAAAGTATCAGTAAGACAATATTAAATTATGATTAATAAATTGTGCAGTAATTGCCCAAGCAAAACATAAAGGAAATCAAATAAGAGAATAAGTCCTAATTTCCTTCTTAAGTATGCTTAATTGGATCAATTGGGAACTATTTGACATAGATAGATTTGTTCCTTATAATTTGTTTTTGAACAAAATTAATGAAAAAAATTAACTAAATTTGCATGGGTTAAGTTACATGACCGAAGGCCATATAAACCGTGCAAAATTTAGTTATTTTATAACCCATATAATATCAATAACTATTTTATTGCACGGTATCTGACATACAATCCTATGCCAATAAGAAAAAGTACAGGTTGTTACATAAGACCGTACAATAAGTATTTTTTGTTATTCCAGTATTCACGAGCTTCATGTAATTAACTAATCCTTGACTATTTGTATAGCTGCATATTTGCTTTTAATTGAATATTCCCAGATCTCACCTGCATATAATCACATGATATTTTTTTATGATATTTATATAAAATCTGAATATTCATTCATTATCATTCGCAGATGACTAAAATCCACAAATATTCATTGAATAGCCATGCCGAATATTCAAAGGATCCAACCTCTACAGAGACCCCATATACATAATTTATTATTGAGGAGTTTACCTTTTTTTATTTAAGACAATGTGGAATACTGTGATCTTTTTTTTTTAAATACAACTAAAGATATACTTTATGAGCGAAATGCATAATTTTTTTGTATCATATTTTTTTTAATCGTTAGCTTTTACTATGCTCTTTTTGACAATAATCTTGGATTTACAAATTTTAATAGCTTTAAATTCGTCAAATTTAGTTAAAGCTCATTCATATTGTTAAAGTTGAAAAAAGCTCTCCATTACATTAAAGTATAAAATTTGCTCTATTAAAAAAATCAGACCGATAATTATTATACTAGTTTGAGAGAAAAGCGTACCGAAAGTTGATATTATCCACAGTAAATTCAGATTTTTGTGATCCTAATTAATGTTTGATTTTACTAGTTTGATGACGAAGTTATCTTTAATTTTAGTGATCAAAATTTTGCGAACAAATCAATAAAATCAAACTTAACTATGGCATAATATTACGCATAAAATGCGTATTTCTCATCTTTAGTTGGTAGTAATGATAAGCAGTATTGGAAATCTGTTTTGAGATTTATACTCTCATGAGAACAAATTTTTGTCCCAACTCTTCTCGTCTTTTATATTCATTTATTTTCTTTTGAATGATTTTGGAACTTCGTTTGATTCCTAATTTTATATTTCCATTTGGCATTATGCTATTATATTTATAATACTTATATAGAGAACATATTTTTCGAATGTTATGATCTCAAATTTTTTTTACAGAGAGCATTTACAGAATATCAAGTCCTCAAATCTAAAGGTATGGTCACATGAGAACATGAAAACATAAGATTTCCAACACTGCTGATGAATAATATTAGGTCTTAATAATGGGGAGATTATTTTGGGAGATTGTCAACGATATGTAATTAAAAAAATATATTTTGATTCTAAAAGACTTATTCCTTCAAAATTTACATGTTATTTATTATAAAATTTATATGTAATTTCATAAATGTTAATGAAAGCATAACATTAAAAGAAATAAATTTTTAGAAAAACCTTTGCAAATACTTTTTTTTTCTTCAAATTAAAGCTTCAATTAATATTTAGAAAAACACATTATTCTCAGTAATTTTATTAAATGTTTTTGCCAATTTTTTTGACATTAGAACACTTTTAGAACCAAATAAATTAGTAAAAATATCGGTTTGTTTAAATAAAGGTCAAAGAAACAAAATGATTGTTTTTGTGAACACCCTCTATAAATACTTTTAATTCCTTAGCATTAAACTCACTAGCGTTAATATCTAAAGAAGTTAATGTAGTATTTACACAAAGTGCTTCCATTAATAAATTTCCACCTTCAAAATCAAGCTTACTATAACTAATACTTAAAGATATCAGAGTAGTGTTTATATAAAGGACTCTCGCTATTGCTTTTATCCCTTTAAAACCAATTTGATTATATCCAAGGTATAAAGTAGTTAAAGTTTTATTTTCACATAGAGCTCTGCTATTGCTTCAGCACCTTCAGAACCAAGCTGATTACCATGAATAGATAAAAAAGTAAGAGCATTATTCTTGCAAAGGGATTTTGCTATTGCTTTTCCTTCCTTAGAACCAAGTGAATTTCAATCAAAGCTTAAAGAAGTTAAAGTATTGTGTTTGCAAAGTACTTCTATTAATTCTGTTGAATTTTCATCTTCAAAATTAAGTCTATTATTAGAAATATCTAAAGAAGTTAAAGTAGTGTTCTTGCAAAGGGCTTCTATTAATATTTTCCAGTCATTAAAATCAAGTCTATTATAAGAAAAGTCTAAGGAAGTTAGAGTAGCATTTACGTAGAGAGCTTCTAATAATACTTTTATCCCTCTAGATCCAATTTGATTATTACCAAGTTTTAAAGAATTTAAGGTAATGTTATCGCAAAGACCTTTTGCTAATGCTTCTACACTCTCAGAACCAAGTTGATTATCATAAATAGATAAAGAAGTCAGAGTAGTGTTTTTGTGAAGTGCCTCTGCTAACGCTTTTCTAGATTTATGACCAAGCCAGTTAAAAGAAAGATCTAAGGAAGTTAGAGTGGTATTTACATAAAGAGCTTCTGATAATGCGTTTATGCCTTCAAATTCAATATTATTATTTCCAATATCTAGAGAAGTTAAAGTGTTGTTTTTATAAAGGATCTTTGCTAATGCCTTTACTCCTTCAGAACCAAGTTGATTTTTATAAATAGATAGAGAAGCTAGAGTAGTGTTCTCACAAAGGATCTCTACTAATACTTTTCCACCCTTAGAACATAAAGAAGTATTATTAAGATTTAAAGAAATTAGTGTAGTGTTCTTGCAAAGAGCTTTTTTTAATGCTTCTAATTCTTTAATGCTAAGTTTATTATTAGAAATATCTAAAGAAGTCAGTGTAGTATTTTTATAAAGAATCTCTGCTAATAATTCTATTGCTTCAAAATTATTAAACTGAAATTTTAAAGAGGTTATAGTGTTATTTTTATGAAGTTTTTTGAATAACATTTTATTGTAAATAGGCTCAATGTTTAAATATTTAAGCTTCTTACTTGTACGTAAAAACATTGCAATTAAAGAACATTTAATAGCATTTGCTTGCTTATTAAATTCTATATTATAATCTTATTCAAAATAACTATAATCATCATAATAATTAAAATCATCATCATAGTCGTAAAAACAAAGATTACATCCTTCTTTATAAAGCCAATTTATAACTCTATCCTTATAATCTTCCAAATAAAAGCTAACGTATATGGCAAAACTTGAATATTCAAATAATGGCTTTTGACAATTTGGAAGAGTAATTTCATAAGGGATTAATAAGGCCTTTTCTTCAGCATTTAATTCCAAGAGATATATTCTTATAAGTCTTAAATCATCACTATATTTTGTTGGTTTACTCCACAAAATCGGTATAATAATTCTACACCAGTAATGACTTACAAGAAGGCATGAAAATAAAGTTCTAAAATTAGTACAGAAATTATTAAATACTTCTAAAAGGCATCATCCGGTAGTAATTTTATTATTTTAATATGTATTAAAAATTTAGTATGTATAAAAATGAAAAATTTAAAACAAAAATGTGGTGAAATGAGGTGCTTTACTTACTGTATTCCTAACTATATTCAGCTTAATTAGGTATCATGATATTTCTTTGTCTAACTACATACAGATTTGTGCAAGTTTCTGAAAATCCAAATTTTAACATACGGTACAGGGGATTCCTGGCCGGAATACTTCAGAAATATGGTGTCCAAACCATAAAAACATTTTTTTTCAACTTTAAGTAAAGATTCTCAACAGCTATCTGATCAAATTTGATGAAATTTTTTATTTTAAATTTACATGTTTACAGAATTAAAATAAAAAAGATTTTTATCGAGTTTTATTAGGTAGTCACTGAGAAATAATCATTTAACTTTCGTGAAAAACTTTTCTTTTTTGTAGGTACTTTACACAAAGTTTTCTCGATGACTATCAAACTAATTCTGATAAATTTTTTTTTTATTTAATCCTACAGGCATATAAAAATTAAAAAAAAAAAATTTATTGAATTTGGTTAAATAGTTATTGAGAAAACTTCGCGTAAAGTTTTTAGTACCTACAAAAAAAAAAGCCGCGGCAAATTTTTCAAAACTTCGAGACACTTTAAGAAGAGTTAACCCAGTGATAATCACGAATTATCACCCTCGATATAATCATATGAAAATTTTCATTGGTCAAAAATATAAACAATTATTATGTATATTGTGTAACCATAATCTTTTTGGAGTGCATCACTCATTTTTTATATTGATTAACCACTTTTTTATTCTTTTAAGGTGAGCTTGATTTCTCTCTTCATTGCTTCTTCATTTGGAATTACATTTTCAGTTTTGGTAGTTACTATATATCACGTTAGTTAATCTTGATTAACTACCACCCCTCATTCTTTTAAGGTGGGCTTCTCTCTTCGCTTCATTTGAAATTATGTTTTTAGCTTCAGTAGTTACTATATATCATGTTAGTTAATCTTGATTAACTACTACCTTTCATTTTTTTAAGGTGAGCTTCGATTTTTCTCTTCATTGCTTCTTCATTTGAAATTATGCTTTTGGCTTTGGTAGTTACTATATATTGTGTTAGTTGATCTTGATTAACTACCACTCTTTCATTCTTTTTAGGTGGGCTTTAATTTCTTTCTCATCACTTCTTCATTTGAAATTATGGTTTTGGCTTTGGTAGTTACTATATATTGTGTTAGTTGATCTTGATTAGCTACTACCCTTTCATTTTTTCAAGGTGAGCTTTGATTTCTCTCTTCATCTCTTCTTCATTTGGAATTACGTTTTTGGCTTTGGTGGTTACTATATATCGTGTTAGTTGAACTTGATTAACTACCACTCTTTCATTCTTTTCAGGTGGGCTTCGATTTCTCTCTTCATCTCTTCTTCATTTGAAATTATGTTTTTGGCTTTGGTAGTTACTATATATTGTGTTAGTTGATCTTGATTAACTACCACCCTTTCATTCTTTCAAGATAAGCTTCGATTTCTTTCTTCATCTCTTCTTCATTTGGAATTACATTGTAATCATAAAACCTGTGATCATCTGATATTTGTTTACATTTTTTGACCAATCAAAATTACTATGTGATTATATCGAGGGTGATAATTCGAGATAATCACTGGGTTAACTCTTCTTAAATCTTCCCCAAAACTTCAAATAAATATTTATCAGTGACTATCTAACCAAATTAAATAACTTTTTTTTTAATTTCAATTCTACGAACATGCAGAATTAAAAAAAAATTCATCGAATTTGATTAGGTAATCATCGAGAAATTCCATTAAAATTAAAACCAAATTTATTATTTTTTAGGCTTAAAATTTTTTTTTTAACTTTAAACTGAAATTTCTCGATAATAACCTGACCAAATACGATAAAAAATTTTGGTTTAATTCTGAATATTTGTAGAATTGAAATAAAAAAAATTATTGAATTGGAATGTTAAGGGCGCTGACATTTATTGCATATATTTTAGGAGGTGGGGTTGAGCATATATTATATCAATATCACGTTACACAAATAAATTAGTAATTAGATACATTCTAAATTGGCCAATCATATTAGATCTTATGTGGGGGAAGGAGGTAGCACTCATAGTAAATGGATATTACGTAATATGTCACGGCCCTAATAATTGAGAAATATTTTATTTGAAGTTCTGAAAAAAAATTTACCGCAACTTCTTTTTTGTAGGTACTAAATTTTACATAAGTTCTCAATAACTATTTAACTAAATTCAATGAATTTTATTATTTTAATTCTATAAATCTAGAATTAAAATAATTATAATAAATTTATCGAATTTGGTTAAATAATCATCGAGAAAACATTGTGTAACGTTTTAGTAACTACAAAAAAGAAGCTTGCGACAAATTTTTTTCAAAAATTTAAATGAATATTTCTCAGTTACTACCTAATTAAATCCGATAAAAGCTTATTTTAATTTTACAACCATGTAAAATTAAAATAAAAAATATTTCGGCAAATTTGATAAGATAGCCATTGAAACTTTTGCTTAAAGTTGAAAAAAAGAAGTTTTTGCTTTTTTCCCAAGATTTTCAATTTTTTTTTAAAACTTTAAGCGAGGTTTTTTCACGACTATCCAACAAAATTCGATTTATTTCTAAAAGTTTGTAGAATCAAAGTAAAAAAAGTCACTGAAATTAATTAATTAAATATTCGCCGAGAAATATTTAGTTAAAGTTTCAAAAAACCTTAAATTTTAAAACGATCTTCCTAACCGACCATATTCCGACTATGTTCTAATTCGGAGTAAAAAACTCGGGTTGATCCGGGATTGAACTGAATCCGAAATTCGGGTTGAATCCGGAGCCAATCCGAAGTATTCAATGGCTAATATTTTAACATGGCCGACTTGGAATTTATATACGTATTAGTGCAATGCGAAAGAAAAAACTGATCCAAATCTCAAAATTGGGCTTAATCTGAGCAATCAGAAGCTTTTGGCCCAAACCCATTTTACGGTTCGGATTGGATGATAGTCCGAATCCGTCAGGTCCGGATTATTCGGAACACTAATTCCGACCAGGAATTTTGTCCCAGTAAGTGGTCGAGTTAGTTTGCACTGGAATTGTCATGATTTCTATTGTGAGTTGTGATATTTGCTATTCTAGTAACACGCAATATGAGTTTAAGGTTAAGTTAGTTTGCATTAGAATTATTGTGATTTCTATTTTGAAAAAATTTCATTATTAAACTTACTCGCTATTCAGGTGACACACTACGTGATTAAAGATGAGTAGTTTGTTTTAGAATTAACATGATTTCTATTGTTAGTTACTATAAAAAATCCTGCTCAAAATTTACACATTATTCTGATAATATATAATATGAGGTTAAGTTTGAGTTAGGATGAGTTAGTTTGTGCTTATTATCTGTTATTGTGTAAAACTTTTTTTTCTACAAAAAACATTTACGTATCGACTTTGTCTTATCTGTTAGGTCATTTATTGCATGTGTAAACGAAATTATGCATATATCGATATGATGTAATTGAAAGAACAAAAAAGTAAATTCCTGTTAGATAAAAACCTGGTTTAAAAAACATCACACCATCATTATAGATTATTCAGAACCATCATCATAGGAAAGGATTATTCGACACCTGCATTTTTTTTTCTTTATCTCCTCATTATAAGTATATATTCCTGTTGTTGCGAGAAATAAATAGTCACATGTACAGTATTTATTCATATAAATTAAAATTAATATCTACGATTAAATAAGAGATATTTTTGTAATTTTTATAAATTTCTGTTTTTGTTAGTTTATTTTTTTTATTCACATTATTTTCGATGAGTTTCAAACAATATTTATCTGTGTATTCTTTTATTAGTTTTGTCACCCTTGCAGTTTCGTCAGTTTCGTCACCTTTCGTAATTTCGCATTTCGTCAGCACGAAACCTTAAGATTTCGTCTGACAACTATATGTCCAACAAAGTAGTTAATTTTCACGGAACTTTGTGCCATAATTACTAATATCTTATAAACATTGCGAAACTTTATATACTAATTACTAATGTCATAAACATTATAAATATTTTAAATAAATTACGCATGTATGTACTTACCTATGAATGTAGTCAGTTGTCAAATTAAAAAAAATATTTGTAATTACAAAATTTTCATTACTATTACAAATATTATTGATATGCGTATTTTCTTTTCACAATTAAAATTACTTCATTTAGAATGTTTATAATTGTTTCTAAGATTACTGGATTAGGATTAACGAATAGTCATGTGTTACACTGTGATACGTCGATCGAATGACTCACTAAAAATACTTACTAAAATATTTTAAATATTAATAACATGAAATGTATGGAATATTATATAAAGAGAAGTTAGAATACCAAATGCACAATATTATATACAATCATTCATGATCATAAATTATATAACAAAGAATAATTTGAAAAGAATCGCACCTTATCTAATTCGTTTTCCTGCAATGTCTACCACAAATAATAGTAATATTAATAGAGAAAACTCTACTACTTTCTCTGATTCAGATTATAATAGTGCTGCATACAATGCTTATCGTCCAACGTTAGTTAATTTTTAAACATATATTAAGAAAAAAAAAATGAAGGAAATTATCGAATTAAAATTTCATTTTTTTAAAACAAAATTTAGGTATCCATCTCGCCTCTTTTCAAAAATTTATGATTACCATGCTTCACATTCGCCATCTTTTTCAACTGCATTAGACGTTGCAACTGGCACTGGCTACATTGCCAAAGAGCTATCAAAAAAATTTCAACAAGTGTATGCCACTGATATCTCACAAGTTATGCTTTCTTCTGCTTCTCGCTCTTCAAACATTCAATATTCTGTTAGCGCAGCCGAAGATTTTTCTCAATTCCAAGATTCGACATTTGACTTAGTTACAGTGGGTCAGGCACTTCACTGGTTCGATAGAGAAAAGTTTTTTAAGGAGGCATGGAGAGTTTTGAAACAAAGTGGAACATTGGCTATTTGGGCTTATTCGCACCATGTTGTCAATGGATATCCAGCTGCCACGAAAAAATTTATGAAACTTATAGTAGAGACATTTGGTGACTATTGGAATCCTGGAAATTCTGAAAAGTTATCGTTAGATAATTTGTATAGAGATATTGTGTTCCCTGATGAATTGTTCAGAAATATTATTTGGGAAAGGTATGAATTTGATGAGAAGGCAGGACAAATAATTAATGATGAAAGTCTTTTAAATGAAGAATGGAGTGTTGTGCGATTGAAAAATTATATGAAGGTGAGTTTCAGAATATATCAATTGAATTTCTTCGTTTTAGAATATATGTATATGTACATGTTTTTTCTTTTTTTAATAGACATGGAGTGCCTACAAGAATTATATGTCTAAGTATCAAAAAGAAAACCAAAAAGTAGAAGATCCAATTGACAAGTTGTTTGAGGAACTTAAGAAGGAGGAAGGATGGAAAGATGACCAGATTTTAAAAATTTCCTGGCTTTTTGTCCTTTCCTTGGTTGAAAAAAAGTGAAAGAAAATTCAGCAAATAAGATTTATTTTGTATTTAAAATTCATATGTAT